TAAATAAATAAATAACTATCTCAAAAGTGAGCAGTATCTCTGAATGCTACTTTTTAACATTGACCCCACAAATATAATCAGACCCAGTTTATCAACATGGGTCTCCAATCTATTAAGCCACTCACAAAAGGAATCAGGGTTGAGATTAAAATCTGCTGACAGCTAAAGGACAATCAATAAAGTCTTACCCCAAGTCACTCTTGACAAAAGTAATCAATTACAGTAAACCCAAAAGTTTCAAACACTTTGCACAAAAAAGGACATACCTGAGACCAAGTAGATAATGGTCACAATCATTCAAGTCCAGAAGACTTTCCTAATCAATAATCTCATTACTACCTGTTTCAAAACAGCAGTCCAAACTACAGGTAGTCCTCAATTTACAACCATTTGCTTAACGACCGTTTGAAGTTACAACAGCACTGAAAAAAGTGACTTACAACCAGTCCTCTCACTTATGACCACTGCAGCATCCCTGCAGTCATGTGATCAAAATTCGGGCAACTGGCATGTATTACAATAAATAAAACAAAGCAAAAGAGTCGTAAAATTGGACTTGACTCACTTAATGACCGCAATGCTTAGCGATGGAAGTTCTGGTCCCAATTGTGATTGTAAGTCGAGGACTACCTGTATTCTTTCTTTTGGCAAGACAGTAATTTTTCAGTACATTTGGTCACTATGTTCCCACCTTCATTCAACTAAACTTTCAGCTCAGTATAAGGAGCCAAGATGAAAAACAGTTAATTATTTAGATAATTAGTTAGATCTCTTCAAGCAAGCTGAGCACATTCTCAGATCACAGCAACCAAAATTGATGTAATGATAACAGGTTTTTTAAGGCACCTTATCTAAACTTGATTAAGACTTTGTACTTATGAAGAAAGCATGGACTTGAGCAATGTAATAGATGAATGAACTGCATGAAGGCAAATATACTGATACTCAGTTCAAGGCAGAGATAACAAATAAATAAACTAAATCATACAATTATTCATTCATAGTCAGGAATAGCATGAATTTCAGTCACAATTTCTCTCACCTTCAAATCTCTATGAACAATGGGAGTTTTGCATTGATGCAGCCTAGCAACAGCTTCACAGGCATCACAAAAAATTCTTAGCACTTCAGATTCAGTAAAGCCTGTCTGTAATCTCTGGTTCATCTGATTCACTATTTGCCCCGCTACAAAGAAGTAAAAAAATAATAATAATGCTTTAGAGAGGGTTTTAACGGATTGGATGCAATTTTGTAAGATTGGCAACATTAAATATTCAAAACCCTAAAACATTTAAAGCAATGTTGCTTTTCAAAGTAAGAGTTTAGATTTTATGTTAGAGAGCCTGAAATAAATAAATAAGAATATTGTTAACGTAGGCAATTCACAATAACAAACTGAAATCACAACACCTTGTTTAATTTTAAGTGGTCATTTATAGTCAAATTCGCCTGATAAAAATAAGTCCCAATTGTTAACAATTTATGGACAATAAACTGCAGTCCAAGCAGAAATAATAAAATGTAATTCTGCCACATCAGGGAAAGTGCCTTCTGCAGATCAACTTGAAATACCACTCTGAATCTATATAGTACTAAAACTCTCATTGTGATTATCTGTTTGTCTGTCCCCTCAAGTTAGCCCAAACAGTGCATTATATCACAACAATTTTTGAATCAAGGAACCTAAAATCCACTAACTTAAAGAATGCATAAAAAATCCAGGACCCATTACTCCTGTGGAATTTAAATTTCCACAATGTTCAGACCAGTTTTATTTGCAAAGTTGTGGCCACTGCAGTGTCCCTGTGGTCATGTGATCACGATTTCCAACGCTCCCTGCCAGCTTCCCACAAAGTCAGTGAGGAAGCTGGCAGGAAATCAAAAGTCGCTCTCACTCCCACTGCTTTTTTGCCTGCCTGTGATCATTCTGTTTATCTGTTTAGGTAAGTAAATATTGACTTATTATTGAAATTCATTTGCCACTACAGTTATTTTTCTATTTATGATATGTACTCTTCGTAGATGATCATGGGTCCATCCAGCATTGGGTAAAAATAATCTGGCCAGACTAACGTTTAATATTCATTCCAGTCACATCAGATTGAACAACCTCCTCACAAAAGATTACCCAACAGATCACAGGGTTGTCTAGTATTTCATATAGCCCTAACATATAAGGGTTCACTGTCATTTTTGTACCATTTTCGCTTTTTTTACAAGCAACAAAATGGAGGAACAGTAGTAAGTAAGGTAGGCTGTGGATAGTCTGTTTCACCCTGGAGTACTTATATCCAAAGCTGTTCTAGTTTTGCCCAAAAAATTGCATGCTAGTCAACTATTTTTTTTTATGAAAGATGACAAAAAATGTACTTACCACGGCAGTATTCCATTAAGATGAGCACCTCCCACACGTTATCACTAACAGAGTTAACAGCACAATCCAAATACCCTACAATGTTCTTGTGCCCAGATAGTTCTTTCTGTAAAAAGAGAAACACTCTTAAGTATAAAGAAAAAAAGATTGTTAAGTTTTAAGATCAAAAACAAAAATAACTATAGTACAAACTATCAATCATCAGTTAATTATCTGATGATGTACTGAACATTATATAAGCATTTGTTTCTTGTTATCACCTTGAATATAGAATCCGATAAATGTGACCATCTAAGACCAAGCTAATAGATTAGTCTCTCCTAAATGAATCTGTCAAATCTTTCTGTGTTATCTGTTATCGGCTAAGAATCATCAAGTTACTTGAAGCTTATCCAAGATGTTCTAACAACTCAACAAAACTTGAATTTGAGGTTTTAAATAGAAAGCCAGGTTGAGGGGGGAACAAGCTACATAAATATGTAAGTTTTTACAATTTTATACAAATTAAACTGTATTTCCTATATTTTCTCTGAAAGCACTCTGAGAATAAGGAATGCACATCATTTCAAAATTGACTCCAAAGAGGTGTTTCAAAGTACACACAAGCACAAACAGAGCACCTATACAACTCATTAAACCAGCTGCATCTTATCCAGGATAGTGCAGCATCTGTAGAGTGCAGCCATGAAATCCCAGGAAAAGGTGCAGGTGCTTTAAAGAGTTGCAGACAGATGTTACATTTGCACTCTTTTTCCTTATGCTTCCATGAAGTATATTTTTGGAATAGAATCTGGGAATTATATGTCTGTGAATATTATGACAATTTTTAATTCTTGTTTCTATGAACACAATTTAACTATTTGTTACATAACCATAGAAAGCACTCAGAACATTCATATCTGCAAACTGTTCAAGTCTCTTAGACAAAAGTAACTGTTGAACTGAAATGTGGAATACCTACAACCCAAAATAAACCGTATTCTTTTACAATACATTTTTCACAATTTAACCACAGTGATTCCTCATCTCAAAGAACCATATTTAAACAATAACAATGAAAACGTATTCAAACATTAGATCACAAACTAATGCACGCTTCCTAAACTATACACACACATTCATATATACATACAACACAAAATTTATATTAGCTTACCATTATTGTTATTTCCCTTTTGCAGATATTGAGGTCAGGTACATTATTAACATACATTCTTTTCAATGCACACCGGACTCCACCATGAGTACGCACAAGGAGTACTGTGGAAAAGCCACCTACAAGAACAACAGAGCTATGAACAAATTCATCTTTTTAATTTAAGAAACTAAATTTTATTTCTTAAAAAATAATTAAAATGATTTTTAATACTGTTGAATGTTTCCATTTAAAAATCTGAATTATGTGAAAATCTACTAGGAATTAATGCAGTAAAGGACAATTGCTTATTATTTTCACATTTCAAAAATTCATTTATTGAGAGAGAAAGAATTAGATTCAAGCAAAGTATTGAATCCAAACCTGGAAAGTCACTGTATCAAAATAATCGGGGAAGAAGGAAATTTTATTCTGAAAGCAACTACTAAATTTTGTAGGCACCCAATAACTCTGAAGCCTGAAAGAAACTTCTGCACACGTCCTATGAAATGTCAAATCTTTGCTTCACAGAATGATTTATACTTAGGCAAAGAGAAATTCTTGAAAATACGGTTAGAAACATTTAATGACAGAGTTGAAGTTAGTACAAACTAGAAGAACAGTCTCAAACTTCAATCTGAAATCCTGATGCCTCACAGCCAAACACTGCAAGTTTCAAGTTTTTGTTCCATTCTATAGCTCTTATATAATTACCAGTTTTGAATATTTATCAATTTCAGTATTGCCTTGTAAACTGCCTTTTAAAGGGGGAGATGGGCGGCATATAAATTTAATAATAATAACAACAAAATAATAATTTAATAATAAATATTTCATTTGGTTTTTCTCACCATCAGGAGCAAATCCTTTTCTGAATATATGTTCCTGAGGTACCATATCACTTACAAGTTCAGCAAATCAAAATGTGAAGTGTTACATATATTAAAAATGGGCAATTTATGTCTAGACCCAGTAGTTGAGGTGTTGTCCATAAAAAGCAGAGAGCTGTAATTATTCATAATTTAAATATCTTCCCTGCACTGACTTGCCTCATGGACTTCCTTCCCACTACCAAAGATTAAATGATTAAGAAGTTCCACACACAAAACAATCTGGAAACAGAAAAATAAACCAGTCTGGAAATGTGTTTGCCAATAAAAACAGGACCTTAAGAAGTAGCCTTTTACCAAATTATACTATTGGTATTGTGGCTGCTAAGAGGTGGTTATGAGAGAAACTCAGGAAACTGAAGAAGAGTTACTGAGTCAGAAAGGAAAGCAATTGGGCTTCTCTCTTTCTCCCAACAATACTGAAAAACAGGTTTTTTTTGGGGGGGGTTGCAACTTTAGTGGCATGTGAACTATAAATATCCCTAATCCCTCTATCTGGTATAGACAGCTTTCAGAGCCAAAAATCTCTGGCCACACCTTTGCTCAAGAATCATATTAAGCAGTATTAATGGCAAAATATATTAAAATTCCCCTTCACTTTAGCCAGTTTAAATTGCCTTGATGTAAAGTAATCTGTATTATAAGAAATCTTTTTTTTTTTTTATCTGCGCTCAGTCGTTACCGACTCTGCAGTGACTGCCTGGACGAGTC